ATATATATATAAAAGAAAAAGGACAATTAGAAGGGCGACAAAGGAGAAAAAATAAGTAAAATAATAATTAATACGAAAGAGGTACTTTTGTTGTAAAACATAAAGCGGGAGGGTAAGTGTCTATTTATTAAGGCGAGAGAGGCAAAATACAACTAGGGTAAAGTTATAGGAAACCCTAATATTTTTGCGTCGTCACAAAACCAAATAATCAACTACAAGCCCAGAGCCGTAGAGGGGTTGGCCTGCTTTTTGCGCACATGCTTTTGTTGCTACAAATACTCACTCTCTCGTTTTGTTCTTGCTCATTCATCTCCCCAACCCATCCATATCTTCAAAATACTCAGTAGCAGAGTATATAGGAGTACTTACCTTAATCTTATGGGCCAAAGTCCCTTCGCACCTCGCGAGTCAATGATCAAACATTAATTGATCATCATGCCATGGATGAGAAATGGCCTCTTTCATTAATTCTCCATGCAACAAAATATGTGGGCAAAATTAAGTCTGGAGAATCCGTGAAGCTCAGGAGGGATAGCGCCATCTATGGTAGATCACGATCGAGATACATATGTTCGATCATCAGTCCTCTAGAAGACCTCTACTCTACTCTACTGATTGTGGTCTTTATATCTATGGTAGATCACGATCGAGATACATATGTTCGATCATCAGTCCTCTAGAAGACCTCTACTCTACTCTACTGATTGTGGTCTTTATGTATACAGCGCTATCCATCCTGAGCTTCACGGCTTCTTCGCACTCGTTGCTTGATGCGTACATGCCCATATCTCCCAACGAAGCTCTCAGCCAATCAATCACGACGGCCATCATCTGAGGTAATTATATCAAGTGTCAACAGCTGGTAATGTTGGTGCTGTAATTCTCGTGCATTAGCTGCCTAATTTTATCGAACAATCATCGCAGCATCAAAGTAGTTGCTGCATGCAACGGCTAAGATCATATGACGACCATACCAGCAAGCAACCTCTCATGTAAGCAATCAAATATAGGTGGCAGGCAGTCTTCTTTTGGAAGCTGAAACTCGTCATTCTTAATCCTTGTTCTCTGCTACTAATATTGAGCTTTGATCTTTAAACCGGTAGTACTGCCTTCTCTTTTTCGTCAAGTCACCAGAACGGAATTGATCGGAGAATTACACTCTGGTGGAAGCCCGTCGAGCTGGGTGCTTGACTTTTAAGTTTTAACATAAACCTGATGGTTGGTCTTGAGTTTTGACCCAGGAGAGGGGGGGGGGGGGGGAATATACATATATATATATATATATACATACACACACACACCACAAACCAATTCCAGGCTTTGGAACATTCCTCCTGAGCAGAATTAGGTTCTCCATAGAAGAGCGATTTGTTGAATCATTCCTGCTATTCTCAGTCCCACTTCCCCGAGTAAAACAAGGGAATAAAAGAAAACGGGCATGTCTCGAATTGGTCCATACTTACTGTAAGATTCTACTTGGAATAATTTTCCATCACCGAAAGATACTCAATACACTCTGTAGTCTATACGTACAAGCTCTCACAAATTATTGGGGGAAACTTTAACAAAGCATACTACATTAAGCTATAGTCATATCACGTGTCGTACATATGGTCCCTAGTAGTAAATGAAATCCACTCCATGTAAATGATACTGCATTAGGATCTATCTATGCAGTCAACATATAAAAAATCCAGTTTGGCAAGTAAGTTTTTTAGATGTTTATCTAAAACTTAATTTACTGTAAAAGTTGTAGGAAAAATTTTTGAAGTATGTAAATTTGTTGATATTTTGAAATGTATTATTTAAAAATTTTGAAAAATTTTTGAAATTACTGTAGTTAAAGTTTTTAAAAAACTTATAGAAGACAAACTTGATCAAAAATTTATTTGCCAAACGACCCTTTACCAATGGAGGAGTACTTAAATAAAATAGACCAGGTGCTATTAAATAGCAATCCTTATCAGGAGGAGTAGTAAAAATCATCCTTTACCATTTTTCAAACTAATGATACTCAAAAAGTACTACTACTGCTGCGGGTAAACATGTTTTCTTTTTCTTCTATTTTTTTTCCCTCTTAGGGCCCCACTAAAGAAGATAATTGGCCACACGACCACAAAATTCTTCTTTTTCCGTGCGGAATTTCCGCTATTTTCGTCTTTGGGAGACAGGCGGACAGTTGTTTCCTGTTTGACTTGTCAACGGGGCCGGGTTCGGGGGTTGTACCCAGATCAAGCATATCTAAATCCAAGTGGACTACGTTAACTGGTATAACTTGGCCGAGTAGTGACCGGGAATATGGTGGCCCCCAAGCTTTGGCGAAGGGGTAATCTCATAAACCTCCCCAGAGGTTTGTGCCACTTTTTTTCAATATTTTAAAAGTTATACATATCTCCTTTAGTGTTGTGAAAAAATTATACTCCCTCCGTCCCACTTTGATAGTCCTATTTCTTTTTTCACACAGTTTAAGAAAAAGTAGTTAACTTTGTTAGAAAAGTAAATTTAGATTGCTATTTTCCTAAAATACCCTCACATTAAATATGGTACAATTTTATGGGAACTTGAATTGATAGTAAAAAAAGAATCAACTTTTATTAAATGAGGTAGGTTTATAGTAATAACAACTTACATTGAATAAGGGTATTTTAGGAAAATTAAAATACAACTACATTCTTCAATTGGAAAGTGGACTACAATTTGGAACAGACGAAAAAAGAAAACAAGACTATCAAAGTGGGACGGAGGGAGTAATAACTTTGACAACTTTATAAATTCTAATTGAAAAATGAGTATGAAGCAAAAAAAAAAACCCCACATTTTGCAAACACTTTTTTTTATCCAAATAACTCTAATTTCATTTCACCTAATACGTTATATTTAAATCCTAGGTCATTTAAATGGACTTCTTACTTAGTTTTTTAAATATATGACTAGTAGGGATGCACTTTTTAAAAAACAATTTCTTCACAACTTTTTTTGTGCAATTCACAACTTAATGAGCAAAGAAAAGAAAAGAAGAAGTCCAAATATTAAAAAAAATGATGTCTTGAAACATGGCCTAAGTTTTTCTATATATAACTATCTTAAAATATTTTACTTAGCAAGTAATACTGGTATTTGATTTCTTTTGTTATTCAATTTATTTTGTAAATCAAATAGGGGGCAATATAGGATATTCATTGGATTTTTTTTTTATGCTTATACCACCACTTGTTATCAAAACATACTTTTTAGAGGAGGTTTTTGTAACTTTTTAAACTTCAAGGGTAACTGCATTTTTTAGAAGTCTTAATGTATGTTCTTAAAATCATCCTTTTAGCATTTTGGGCTTTTCTTTCTTTACACATTTGAAAATTTTAATATGCTTTCTGTAAATTAAACTTTTTTCCCCGTAAAAACTTGACCATGCATATTAGAGGTTATGGTTTTAACTTTTACATATAATAAAATCCACCCGTTAAAAAAAAAATTTCTAGTTCAATATATGACATTCTTTCAAAAATGTTCGATCTATGACATCCGTGTATCATAGTCCCATTCGGTCTATGACATACTTATATCATGGTTATATGTTATTTACACATCTGTTTCCTATTCTTTTATCACGTGCAGATAAAAAATGTGCTGTACAAAAATGTCTAGCTAGGACTAATAGGACTACTGGTTTATTCCAAAAAAAAAAAAAAATTTTAATAGATATTTCGGTTAAAGTAACTTCTTCTTCTTCTTCTTTTTATAAGTTAGAGGTTCGGTTGAAGTACTTATCATGTATTATTTGATCATTTATTTGTATAAGTTGTGCTTTTTTTGCACTATTATTTGAGCATTTATTTGTATAAGTGGTACTTTTTTTTTCTACTCTAAACTATATATTGATGTGATGAATTTAGAAGAAACTACATATAGTAATGCACCCGTATGAATTTAAAAGAAATCACATATAGTGGCATATTGAACTCTTGACCTTTCATCTCACCAAAACTTAAAGTCTTTGGTGGTAGGCAATGACTTGGTTGTGTTTTTTTTTTTTTGTACTTGATAATATCTAGTTTTGATCTTTCGAAATGCACTTATCTCTTTATTTAGTTGAAATATATTTACCTCTTTTGTGTTTTTTTTTTATGGTTAAGTTTACAAAAATACTACTAGCAGTTTTGGAATTTTATTTGATTTTTTTTTTATCATAAGTGGTAAGGCGTGTCTAAGGTCCTATACTAACTGTTCTTATTTGATACAATTGTTCTAAAAATATTGCTAGCCTTTTTAATTTAGCATGCTGTACATTTTACCTAATCAACATCCAATATTTATATGTACAGAAGAGGAAATGAAAAGACAAAATGCTAAATTTCAACATCAGGCAATTTGTTCTAGTATTTATGTATTAATATTATTAAATTTTTTTTTTATCGACAATGGTAGATGTCCTATAATTTAATCTAGTCTAATCTAGGGGAAAGGGGTAAGAGAAGATGGTCAACTAAGACCAATCACATATTGTGGCAAATTTGAGAGAGGCAAGGGTAGAACCCTGACTTCCAGTATCACCAAAGAGGGTGATGACCACTGGACCAAATGGAGTGTTTGGATACAAAATTTATCCCAAATAATATTTCGCTTGCATCATAAACACATTTTTCAACCCACCTTTTTATATTCCCAATCACCTTTTTATCTCAGATACATCACATCACAAAAAATGCTACAGTAATTATTTCAAATAATATTTCAAATAATACACTATCCAAACAAACATAAAATATTAATTGATAAGTGCTACCGGCGAAGGAGTACAGTTTGTGGTACTACAAGTGTAACATGGGAGCGGGAGCGGCAATCGTACGACGACATATGGTAGCAGTACTTCCGAAAGAGTTGCAAGATATTTTAATGTTTTTTTTTTCAAAGCTAGATATTTTAATGTGGGAGCGCCAATTGTAGCCGTTAATTCAGTTACCCAAATCTAGGTAAGATTGAAGCAGGGCCAATTTGTATTGTAGTTATTTGTATCTGTAGTAGGAGTAGCAGTAATTGATTTCCGGAAGTGATTCAGAACATGGCACTCGCGTGTGGGCTCGCCCGCCACCGCTGCCACTCCCACCTCCATAACCTTTTCTTGATCGGAAACTCCAACCCCAACCCCAACCGGAGTTGCTTCTTTTACTCCACTATTCGACCGCCATTCAAGAGCCAAAAACTGTCCTCTGCTGGTAATCGCTTGACAACTCTCTCTACAGCACGTCTGCAGCAAAATGTTCCAAAATCATCGCCCAATGACCCTTCTACTAACACCCTGCCGCAGGCCAAGACTCAACCATCCCGTTCAGATAATCTCGTTGACCAACCCGACTCCAACCCCGACTCTGGGTCTTCCCTCTCTCCCCTTCCCTATCCACTTCGGTGCTGTAACCATCCTTCCTGTTGGCTGTTGTTGATTATACTTCTAGTAGCTTGGTTTACTCGGTTCAATTTTCTGTATTACTAATCTGTTCATCTTTGTTGTATCGGAACTCTCGGCTTCGCGCTATGTCTTGGTTGCAATTATTTTACATAACTTTACTGCAATTTAATTTCAAGAATGTGGGATTTCGCAGAAATGTACTTAAATTGGATGTGCTGGCATTGGAGATTCTGTCAATTGCACTGCCTGCTGCGCTGGCTCTTCTGGCAGACCCAATTACTTCATTAGTAGATACTGCATTTGTTGGCCATTTGGGTAATTACCTTAGTATCTTATTACGCGACTTTTCTTCTAGAGCTTCATCCATCATATGAAAGCCCACCATGTGCGTTTTTGATGCTGATAAATTGCACATATACGTATTAACCTTTTATTAGGGTGCGAGTTTCACAAATGATGACTTGCAAAAACTTGATCTTGGCTCTTTTTTTTTTTGACTGAAATGTGAAGCAAGAGGTGGTAAAGAAATTACTGCCAGTGTTATTACTGAGCAATCTTTGTCCAATCATTTCGTTTACAAATATCCACATATTAAAGTTTGTATCTTCCTTGGTTCTTAACTATGGTGCATCGTGTAGGATCGGTTGAATTGGCAGCAGTAGGGGTTTCAGTTTCAGTTTTCAACTTAGTCTCAAAGTTGTTCAATGTTCCACTGCTCAACCTCACAACATCTTTTGTTGCCGAAGAGCAAGCGGCCATTACCAATGGTTCTAATGAGTCTGGTCCACCTGTCTGCGGTACTTTTCTCTATAGGAGATGCTATGCCTTTATTCAATTTGTTGACCTTCTTCGATTTGCTATAAATTTTGCCTCTTCATAATAACGAGGCTCACTTTTGGGCTCTGTGAACTAGATGGCCCGCCTGATCACAAAGGCAAGATTCTCCTTCCTTCAGTATCAACTTCATTAGCTCTTGCAACCGGACTTGGGATCGCAGAAACTGTTGCACTCTCTGTTGGGTCCGGTTTCTTAATGAACACGATGGGTATACCTGCTGTATGTCTTGTTTGCTAATTGAGTATTTTGTTCTTATTGGTCTCACTTATCTCTCCATCCTTGTGCCTAAATTTTAGAAAATATATGATATGCTTTTTTCTTATTTTCTTTATTAGGCATCCACGTGACTGTTTGTTGCAGCATGTGCTGGATGGAGAAATGAACTTAGATATTAAAAGTTTTATAGCTCTTAAATGCATACAGACATCTCACAGAGAGAGAGAGAGAGAGAGAGAGAGAGAGAGAGAGAGAGAGAGAGAAGCAGCTAAGATAATAGCCTAATACTAGCTCAGACAAGTTGAGTATGTTATTGACTCTGCTACATAGTCTTTCTGAATTCTTTTGTACCAAAAACTAAAATCTCTGTACATAAGGAAAAGGAAAATGATAAATTACGTGATAAATTTACATCTACTAGATACCAGCGATATCGTTTACTATAGGTTCAAAGAGAACAGCAATGCGAATCAAGTTTATTGCTTTTCCATGAGTCTGATGTTCTTACATGAATTTGTTGTCAGAACACATGAACTTCCATCTTATGATTGTTAAAGATTTTGTCTATTGTTGTTCACTGTCCTTGGTGTTTCATAGGAGTCCTCCATGCGCATACCAGCAGAGCAATTTCTAACACTGAGGGCATTTGGTGCTCCACCACTTGTTATAGCACTTGCTGCTCAAGGAACTTTCCGTGGATTTAAGGATACAAAAACTCCGTTATATGCTGTTGGCAAGTATTGCAAAATTGAATTTGTCTCATGCCAAATCTGTTTGATATTTGTGCACAGCCAAATCTGTGTCTGCTCTGTTACTTTGCATGTTTAACCTAAAACATACCTCCTAGCACTCTACCTTTTAACATCCTTTTTCTTCTTAATAACTGTTTATCTGATGTCATTCTGCTTTTCATTCTCAGGAGCTGGTAATGTATTAAATGCAATACTAGATGCAATTTTGATATTTTGCTTTGGTATTGGCGTAGCAGGTGCTGCAATTGCTACAGTGATATCTGAGTACGTCAATGATGTGGTAAACCTATTGCAGTAGTTGCTCAACTTATTATAAATAATTCTCGTCATCTTAGGGAAAAATACCATGAACTCAGATTTGCAAAGAGTCAAGGACCATGAAAATTGATCAACTACTCCATTACCAATGATTCCTAATTCAAGCAAGTCCTTTGATCTTCAGTTATTATTTTGATCTTCTACCCTTTCAAGTCCAATGGTTATTCATATTTATCATTTTGATGTTTATTTTAAAATGGATTAACACCAAAACTTAAAATTATGAGTTGCTGGTAATTCTCTACACTCTTTTTTTCCCTGAGAGATTAGTTATTGATCATATATCGGCAAAATTTCTTGATTATGTGTGTTGTATAAAGTGTGACAAAGTTTTGGATATAAACAAATGATTGTGGAAATTATTTCTGTTCCTCATTCTTGAAACATATTTTAATCTAAAAATCAAACTCTTTGAAAAAATAGAAGGCTCAAAAAAAAAGGAAGTTATATTGGAAAAGTCTTGGGAATTCCTAGAATAATATATGAGAAGTTGGACTTATTGGTTCTACAGAAGTTTGATAAGACATTATGATCCTTAAAGTTATATAATAGGACTAAATGACAAGTTTATGCTCTCGTATGGGACCTATACCTAATTGATTTCCATAAATTTTCTGCACCAGGTACTTGACTGCTTTCATCTTGCTATCAAAGTTAAACGACAAAGTCCAACTTATGACACCGAATGTTGATGCAGGAAGGGTTGCTCGATATCTAAAATCTGGTATATTTTGATATCTTAAATAGCTAAAACGTTTCATGAATGACTTACTGTCTTTTCATCTACGTTGTCACATGTTGAATATTAGTATCTAGAAAAAAGGTCGTCACAACTCCTGACAGTGCTTTAGTAAATGTCAGAAGAACTGTGAGTAAGATTATCACTTGAGGACCAGGAACATAATTAACCCGTATACATGTACTTGGCTGACAACTTTATATATGGTTACTTGGTTTCATTCTTGCAATGGTTCTGACTGTAAGTTTGGAGCATGGTGATTTCTTAAGTCAATGTCATCATCCATGGTCAAGTTTAAGAATCATAATTGCTGTTTTCTCATATCATTCTCCAATGTGTAAGTTTAATGAATTTTTTTGTGCAGATTGCAGTGCCAAAGATATAATTGCTGTATATTTCAAGACTGTGCATGTTTGAGACTCCAACTCTTTTGTCTCTGATGCAATTTTGGGGCACTTCAGCATACTTGAGACTCCTTAATCTCTAAGACAAAACAAATATGAAACTTCAAACAAATGACAGCATGAATTTGATGTAATTTGCATAACCTTGGATGGTTGAAACATCAATATTTTGACTGGTTTTATTATTATAGCTGCTGTTATGTTGTTGGAGTTTGAAATTTGAATGTACTATTTTTTAACATCCGTTTCATTAGGTGACTGTTTGCCAAAGAGTCTAGAATACATGGTCGCATGCAGTAGACTCATTCAAATAGCATGATCTTTTAGATGTGTTCAACTTTGATTTTGAACCTTTGACCTATATTTTTTCCGTGGCCATATTCTATAAGGTGCTGCACCTCCTGGAACTCTAAAATCACTCTTTGTATCAATAACTGTTGGATTTTCATTTTGCAGGGGGTCTTTTAATTGGAAGGTCCTTAGCAGTGCTCATGATTACAACTCTAGCTACATCTATGGCAGCAAGAGAGGGGGCCATTTCTATGGCCGGGCATCAAATCTGTTTTCAAGTTTGGTTGGCTGTATCTTTGCTTACTGATGCTTTAGCACTTGCAGGGCAGGTAATAATGCAACAATATTGACAGAGCTGTCTGGTGTGTTGCCAGGTTTGGTTTTTCGTTTACTCATAAGACACAAATCAATTCCATTTGTGGCTTGTACCATGACACAGTTTGTATACACTACTGGTGCTTTGTGGGTACAGATTAGGCTGATTGAGGCTCAAAATTTTATCGTTACAACCATTGTTATCATTTGTAGTTCAGAAGTTTACTGAATAAGCTGAGTGATTATCTCTCTGGTGCTTGAATTTCAGACTTCAAGATATTTGGAAGGTCTATTTTCATAATCTTTGATTCGCTAAAGTTAGATTGTTGGTTAGTTCCTGGTTACAGAGATCTCTGGAATATATTTGGCTGGACCCTTGAAATGTGTTGCAATTCAGCATTTGGGTAGTTATATGGTTTGGTCAACTCTTAAGTGCCTGGAAGAAGGAGTGCTTGCAGGAGGACAAAAGGAGCCTCAATACCTTCAATGTCTTTTCCTGTTTCTTCTGCTACTTGTCTTATTTGATTGTCTAAGAAAATTTTGTATAGAATTGAGTAATTCTCTCTCTGCATTGCCATCAAATTTAACTCCTTTTATTCTTGCAGGCTCTCCTTGCCAGTGGTTATTCCCAAGGCAGTTATGGTGAAGCACGGGAAGTTGTTTACAAAGTTTTGCAGGTTTGTTGAATTTCTGGTTGTGGTGGCCCTATCTTATCAAAATTTTGGCATCACATTGACTTCCATACAGAAGACGAACTAACTTCTAGATGTACTTGTTATTGTATTAATAATGATCAGATTGGTTTAATAACTGGAGTAGCATTAGCTGTATTCTTGTTTCTTGGTTTTGGAGCACTCTCCAGCTTATTCACTGTGGATTCAGAGGTTCTGAAAATTGCGAGATCTGGTACCTTGGTAAGAATTTCTTGTTATAAAATTTTTGTGTGTTGAGCGCTTCTTTGTTGCATGGGCTTGGACTGATGGAACTGAAATTTACAGTGAAGAAAGTACTATTGTTGAGCAATGTGGACTAAAGTTAACATTCTGTCAGAATACCATAAGCAAATTTTTCCTCAGATTCAAGAGCAGAAAGTTTAGCATTTAAAGATTCTATTGTTTAGTACAAATTTGCTCCTAATATGGATATATTGCTTTATATCCTCTAATAATGTGGATTAGAAGGACACGCGAACTCAGCGCTTCCGGTTTTGTTTCTACTCATATTCTAATTACTTGACAAACTGAGCAGTTTTCTTTGTGGTATTGAATCTTTCTCTGTAGTTTGTTGCTGGATCCCAGCCTATGAATGCTCTAGCTTTTGTTCTTGATGGGCTTTACTATGGGGTTTCAGATTTTGGATACGCTGCATACTCTATGGTACCACTCTGTCCTGCCATTTTGATGCTTTATCATTCAACATCTTTTTTGATTATTTATGTTCACAGTTTACTTGTGATGGGTAGATAGTTATTGGAGTAATATCAGCGGTGATCTTGCTGGTGGCCACTTATTTTTGGGGCCTTGCTGGAGTCTGGGCAGGGCTATTTTCCTTTATGACTTTGAGAGTTGCTGCTGGAATCTTGAGGTCTCAGTCTCTCTCTCTCATTAATTTAATTAAAGATGCATTAGCATGCATTATCATGTGTCCAAGGTATTACTTGCCGTTTGCTAGTGTATTGCCCTTGTGTCATATATACTTTGAATCTCAGGTTGGGTGCTAGAGGCGGACCATGGAAATTTCTATGGTCTGGTGTGGAGCGAGAAAGTGCCTGAACCAACTATCAACATGACTCCTGCCGTGTTTGCGTGTACTGGTTAATGATCAGCCTGGTGGAGGTAAAATGATCAGCCTGCAGCCATTGATTCATGAACTATTGACACCCTGGAAGCTGACCTGCTTCAAGCTTCACTACTATTCATCTCAAGGGCTACGGAATAGGTAACTTCTCCACATTGCAACAGCAAGATCGAGGACATTGTCCTAATTGAACGAAGAGGAATTCTGTAATACAGCAAAGGTCTGCTCTTTATTCTGACCTTTTTTTTTCGTCTCTTTCAAAATTAACCCTGCAATGTTTGTCCCCCCCAAAAAAAAAAAAAAAAAAAACCCTGTAAAGTTTGATAGCTTACAGTAAGTTGTCATGGTGTAAAGATTTAGGGTTATGTAGTATTTAAATTAGGTGTTAAACATAGTAAGAGACTTATTTGTACATGATCATTTTCGTTTGGTATTTGTAGATCCTGATAACTTCTCCAACGATATGTATGCAGATGGTAGAGTTACCTTCAAGAGCATTGGTTATTGTTAAAGCGCAATGTACAGTGTAAATTCTTTCTTTTGCTGACTTCCGCCTATATGAATGACATTTTTGTAATAGCAGGAAAACCAAGCTGATAACCATAATCTTAATTTTGGCTCTAAATTGCACAATCTGGGGTGCTCCAAGCTTTGCCAACCTATCTGTTATATTCTGCTTTCCGCAGAGACGAAAACAATGAAATTTGACTCCGTTAATTTGAGAATTTTACGGGCCACAATACTAGAGCTCACAACACCAGGGAGAAAAAGAAGAAAAGAACAAAGAAACTGAACAACTGCAACGCCACACAAGTTTCTGTTCATATTTCAGAGTCTTTTTTCTAAGCTGGAAGCAGATCAACACAGATAACCCAAAAGCTTGATGTGTATGTATTCCAGAGACTTGCTTGTCCTGGATGAATTTACACTATACCATCCACTAAAAACTACCTGATGAACATCAAAGAATTTCAATCTCAATTTCTACTTCTAGGTTAAACTTTGCAAGCTTCGGGGCCAAAATGTGAATCAACTAATACTACTGCGTCTTTCCATCATCGTCATCGTCCACTGAATAGCGATTACTTGTACAAAATCTTCTTCTGAGATGCACTTTTCAGGTCTCATGGTATCCGAACGTCGCAGCAAAGTTTTCTATGTCACAAACAATTTATCCCTTCCCGCTTCCAAGGAAAGACTAATCAATAAAGGTCCGAAACGTCAACATTCAAATTGTCGTCCAAAATTATAGCCTGTAAGTTTTCCACGTTGAGCTTCGCATCTTGGTGTTGTAGCCAATATTGCCCTTGGCCCTCATCAGAAGATCCGTATTGACCAAGATCGCCGTCTACCTCATTCCTCAATCCAGTATCAGAAGCGTTGACTGCTCCTGAAGAACCGGGAAAATCATCAACTATTGTTGCCGGTGGTTGTATGTTCTGCAGCTCGAATCGCCCAGTGCCAGGTTCTTGACAGCCCGGCCCCCTCGCCCGAAATGTTTCATCACGATATCCTCCTTGAGGCTTCGGATCCAGTAAGTCGAGGAAATTTAAAGAGTCCGTGTCCTCCATTAACATTTTGTTAATATTCTCAAGCCAAGTGCTGTCCTCCTGCAGAGAGATGGCACCGGAGGCCGCGCATCCAACGGGAAGATTATCATCAAGATTCGCCGCCCAATCCCCAGTGGCCAACCGCATGTCGTCGTCTAAGCTGCTAATACACTCAGAACTATCGATATCCAGGGATTGCCCATGCAGAATATTGCGCCAGAAACCATTATCATCAGGCATCCCTGGATTACCAAGTTTCTGCTGCTCGTCCAATAATACTAATTCGTCCAGGTCCGCCGCACCAACAGGATCGTCGATAGGAAATCTCGTTTCTGCCTCTGCAGCGTGTCTAATTACTGAATCTTCATTGATCTGGGAGACTACTTGGCTGTGGACTTGGTTCTCTGGTGGCTGCTCAACTTTAATACGAGAGTATGACGGTTCGCCGCCATCCATTTTGCAACAACGTAGCTTCGTTGGCGACGGTGTTGGAGCATAATGCGTTGCGTCTGACTCAATTTTCGACTCTTGCACCATGGTAACACCGCTTAAACCCGATGTTTCAGCAGGGGATTCCACTGTCCTGGTACGTACAAGATATCCATTCGACTTATCTGCATGGTTGTCAATTTCAATCTCTAAAACACCCTTAGCGATACAACTACCATCCGGTGGTACTAATACCGGGTCAACCGACGTCGATGATGCTGCGGAGTCGGGAGTGGACGAATCATTGTTGTCGCTAATTGTAGACGAGTGATGATGAAGTGAGGAGGGGGGTGGGGTTGGGGGTGCACAATTCTCCGGGAAGTTGAGAATAGCATCAGGGCCATACATAGCCCTGGCAGCCTCGTCATATTTAAGAGCAGCTTCAACAGCTGTGGGAAAAGTACCCAGCCACAGGCGGCCGCGCTTACTCAGGACTTGGGTCTTGGAAAAAGAAACCGGCTCTCGGATTTCAGCAACCCATTTTCCCCAAGTCCGCTGTCTAACACCCCTGAAATTACACCGGGAGTTCTCGGGTCCACCTTTGCCTCGCATACATCCCTTTCTGGAACCCCTGGGTAGAACTTTTCTCTTCTTCTTTCTCCTGAATAATTCATCCCCGCCCACTTCATCATCACCCACCACACCCACAGTTTCCAGTATTTGTCTGTTCAAATTCTTCCACTTCAACAATATGTCGTCTACGGATTCACTTTCCACACTACTCCTCCTCCTCCGTGAATTATTGTTATTTCTGTTCCCGCCACACGCCATTTACAAACTTTTACCAGGTCAAGCACAAAAAAACGCACTCACACACACACAAAATAAAGGCCCACCCGCCACCACGTCTTTCGCTTCACCAAATCTTCTGTAGTAGTGTATATTTCAGTAGGCCAAATTGATCAACTGCAGAAACACGAAAAAAAAAAAATCAAATCTTTAGTAACAGCACTGAACACTGAATTATTAATTACAAGTTTTATCATCCATCTGAAGGGCCTCAGTCGTTGAGGGCTCTAACATTAAATAAACCATATTAAACCACGCACGCACCAGGTATAGCAAGTTAGTAGTTCTTGTTTCAAACCCTAATCGTTTCATGTGTTGTAATAATAACACTCCATTAAAATTCAAGAACGCATACTTAACAGTAGTTAATAGTCCAGAAAAACGATTACTAGCCAAGACCGACGAAACAGAGGGGATTAGAACTGGAATGCGCAAAGGACAAGAAAACTCATGTGGGATTATATATAAAAGATTACCATTCAAAGAAGATTGGATTTGGTGAAGAGGCTAAAGAAAATTTGACTTAGCCGTCGGTATTTGCAGTGATGTGAATATCAGAAGACATGCGCCTTTGAGAAAACAAAGAAAAGTGTTGCTTGATTCTTCTTCCTGTTCTTGGTGAGTTGGTCGGGGCCTTGTATACCTCTTTCCTCAATCTTTATCGGTGTGTATACGTTATATATATGTATATATTTCGCTTTAGGATTCTAGACTCGACTCTCGTTTTCCTTTTTCAGTCTCCTCAAGAAAAGAAAGGAAAGAAGGTGTCCTTTTATTCATCTATGCTGCTATGCATTGCAGACGCTGGTGGTGCTGTTTTTTGGCAATCCAACAGTACCGCTGATTGCTCTCTCTTCAGCAATTACTGCTGATTGCTCTCTCTTGGGAACTAAGTAACTATTCTTATTTTCGGAAATTTCTCATTTCCCCCCCCCCCTTTTTTTTTTTTTTTTTTTTCCTTCTGCTTGTTTTATTTATTAAGCTGTTATTGGGGCATGGAGGATGCATGGGTGAAGGCCGTAGACGAACCTTATTAACAGCACAGCAGCCTACGCGGGCCTGTCTCTCCTTTTCTTGCCCATTACGCACCCTTTTTTCTTTAAAAAAAATTATTTCCTTTCAAACTTCCAAACCAATTTGTAGTGGTATATCAACTTCAGTTCCTTCCTGAATACTTGCTGCTCTTTCTTGGTCCTCAAGAATATACTCGTGCTTTTGTCGCAATTATTATTCTTTCTTGCCAAAAACATTTTTTTTTTTTTTTTTTGCATTCTTTTATCGTTTACTTGCTGATGAAGTTAATAGACGGTAAAGTAAACTCCATCTATTAAATAAAATTCCAGTACTTAGTTACTAAGGTTTCACTCCCCGCTATGGTTGGAGATGTAAATGATGCAAGAGGTAAAGCAAAAAATGGTTTTGCTCCCTTTTAATTTATTCTTTTAGTATTTTTTTTTTCTTAAATGATTTTGAATACTCAATTTTAGCTTTGATTAATTTTCTATTTCCAATTGCTTTGCAAAATCTGACTTTTAAGTTTTGTATAGTTAAAAATGAACAAAGGAAGCAACATGGCAAGTGCTTTTTTGCTTTTGAATTTAGACATCGGACGCAATTGAGTCATCCTGAGTAACCCCGCCCCCAAAAAAAACACACACACACACAGTATACGCAATTCATTTTCATTTTTCCTCTTCTTATAAACCCTCAATACAAACAGGTCGGATTTGTTGAATGGGCTGCAACATGAGGAGGTCGCATCATTCAGCAAACAAGCTATTTTTCCTTTCCCGTTGGTGGTCAAGCAAGGCAAGCCCAAGTTGTCATGGTTGGGCTTCCAAAATAGGAAAGTGGATATTTTCTATATCAGCTGCACGTTGAAACTAATCCGAAAAATTCCAAGAAATAAGACGACAAGAACTAGAGACAGGTGGGCTTGATGATTACGGACACGGGGCAGCCAGAGGCAGTAAGCCCAATTCGGTGGAGGAGAAATCGACAAAAGTCGGTCGACTTGAGCGGCCTCTGCGCTTTCGTAAGATCGTAAGAACGAAGGACGTAAATTAATCTAACGGGTTGCATCCTAGGGGTGTAAATTAATCTAAGCTACTCGATTCGGGCTTGGGAGTAATTTGATCAAGCATAAAATTCAATTCAAAGTAACTGATGAGATGATCAAGTCAAGATAGAGTGAAAAAAAAAAAAATTTAAAACTCTAACGTATGTCAAGCCTTGTCGAATGGCGTATTTATAATATAATTTTTAATTATTTATTATAAAATTATAAATTTACTAAAAAACCGAGTTTGAAAGCTCAATTGAACCCTAATTCATCCTTTCGTTTTGGAAGACTTAGCCGTGCAAATGGATCATACCCTTTCCTTCTTTTTTTTTTTCTTCTTTTTTTAGTATAACTTAAAAAGTGAAATTATCCCCCGAAGTCGACATCAAAGGGCTGGTACAAAGGCGGTCCTGCTCAAGGACACAAATATAAAGTCCTAGTTGGTCATTTTCCAACAAGGCTTTGTTTCCTTTTTCTTGCGCGAACTAATAAATGGTCATTGATTTCCCCATAGTACAGGAGGAGTGACAAACAAGGAATTTTCAGCCTATCCGTGTGCTAGATGGAAAAGCCTCCCCTTTTATTGGCCACAATTCACAGGACTGCGGACGCCCCGTAGCCGCACAGCAGCCAAAACTGCTACAACTGATTCTCATGAAGAGCCCCCACATGCATGGCATTGCACTGGAACACAGTGAAACGTTTGCCTGCCAAAATTGCCAGTGCCCATCTGGAATATGCTT